CTTGGCCAATAAATTGAGGTCGCCTTCCCTTCCTCCTCCGTCGACATGATGAAAATCCCTAGACTCATGGTCACACAGGCAGGTGCTTGTGGTGTGCAAGCTACTGGGAGAAACCCTTTGTGTATGGCGTCTCTTTCCATTCCCCACAGAGCAGAGACCAAGACCTGTGCTTAGCGAGCAGCCCATGCTCCAGGTGTGGCTGTCTGGAACACCTATAGAGTGTAGAGTGGAGATTTGAATCCAGGACCCCTGGGCTCCAGAGCTCAAGCTCTTGTTCATGAATCAATACGTCTGCCTAACAGGGACTCACAAAGCATAGTTATTAGTAACTCTGGGTCTCAGAGTCCTCCTTGGCCAAGCTAGATAGTCTGCTTTGTTCTTTGGTCACTGCTTCAGAGGCCCCTGAGGGTGCTGGTTCCCAGGCCAGGCTGGACTTTGGACATATTATCTGGGTTCTCTGTGTCTGGGCTTTCAAAAGGCTTCCTAGGTTATTCTAATGAGGATCGGAACTCAAAATGAACACACGTGCCTCAAAACAAGCAGACGGCACTGGTCTGATCAGTGGAAAAAGTGGTGTATGTCTGCAATCCCAGTACTTGGGAGGCAGAGGCAGGAGGAGCCATAGTTCAAGACCAGCCTTGGCTAAACAAGAGCCTGTCTCAAAAACTGCCTTTCCAAAGCTTGTGTGGCCCCCAGCAAGGTCTTTCCAACTACCTCATAACTGAAATACACACCTTTAATGTGTACAACTGGAGGCAGCTCAGCAAAACTCCAAGGTTTTGCAAATGTTACTAAGGTTTTGCAAATGTTACTAGCAATGGACAAATGTTCTCTTCCCCTCCCCACCCCAAGAAGCCCTGCATCCATTAGCAGGAGCTCCCCACTTCCCACCTCCTCCTAGCCCCATGTCTGTTAGCAGGTACTCCCCACTTCCCACCACCGCCTAGCCGTGCAACTTAAATCTACTTCCTGTGTCTACAGACTTGTGTCTATGGAGCCATAAAAGACATGGCCTTTGAAAAATTGTATTTGTGGGGCTGAGGAGATGGCTCAGTGGTTAGGAGCACTGTGTGCTGCAAAGAACCCAAGTTCAGTTCCCAGCACTAATGTCAGCTGGCTACTGCCTGTAACTCCAGCTTCAGGGGATCAGATACCCTCTCTGGCTTCTTTGGGAACCAGCACACACGTGTGGTATATACTCACACAGACAATACACATACACTAAGATAAATCACGTGTGTGTCTGTATGACAGAGAGAGAGAGAGAGAGAGAGAGAGAGAGAGAGAGAGAGAGAGAGAGAGAGAGAGAGAGAGAGAGAGAGAGAGAGAGAGATACATATGTGAAGCTCAGAGGACAACTTTGTGAAGTCAGTTCTCTCCTTCCAAATTTACGTGGGTTCTGGGGATTGAACTTAGGTTCCCAGACACATAGTAAGCGTTTGGGAGGCACTTGCTTAGTGAATCGCCCTCCCTGCCTGGTTATTTTACTCCTTAGATGGTAAGCCTCTTAACCCATCCAGATCTGCCCTGGTAGCTTTAAGCTTGGAGCGGCTAGTGAGTGGGCCATATTACTTTAATCAGATAATCAGATTATTCCCCTCCTTGGCATCTGGCAGAGATCAGAGTATTAGGCAAAGGGAAATGAAGGCATAAAGCGCCCATCCCACTGGGCAGATATTTAACAAGTGCCTGCTATACATTGGCCACAGGCCCAAGCTCTACAATGCAGAGCCCCTGGGGCTTCCTCAGCACAGTGAAGCCTTATTCACCTGCTCTCCCCGCCCTGTCCTCGTAGCTCGCATCTATCAACACGAAGTGCCATGTTGAGCACTGCACATGGAATCTCTCACTTGACCCTGATGACAGCAGGTATAGGAAGTGCCTTATTAGTTTGACAGGTGCCGTAAGAGGTGAGTTTGTCGGCTCACATATGGAAGGTTGGTAGACTTCAGTGGTGGTGTGATCAAGGCTCCCCTGTTTCTCTGCTTTCCTCTGCATCCCATGGCTTCCTCGGTGGCACCAGGCAGAATGCTTTCTTATTCTTGTTCAGCACATGAGAGATGCTGCTTTCCAGGGTAAGCTTTCAACAATGAGGATGCTCTCACCCAGACCATAAACAAGTCTCGTCTTAGACTTCATTAGCCCAGATCGACTTAGACCTACCCATCCGCTGATCAATGGTCCTCCACTCTGACTGATAGAACATCAAAATCATCCTGTGAGTTTTGGAGAAAATAAAAAATATTGACACTGAGGGCCATGTTAAGGACCATCTCCCTACTAAGTTAGGACTCTGGGGTGACCCCAGGCACCAAGGTTTTAAGAAAGCATCCTAAGTATGTCTAGCACATAAGGCTTTGGGGTTAGAAGTTGGGCACCATTTCTAAAGGAGGTCGTTGCCCTGGGATGAGGACCCTGGCCAGAATAAATCATCAGAAAACATCATACCCATGGCCTCTTGCTAGACCCCACTGCCCAGGGTATACAAGTAAGTAATAACTTTTAAAATCCTGTAATTTTCTTGTGAATAGCATAATTATATTGCTTGGCAATTTGCGTGTGTGCTAAGAGCATTAATTTGCTAAATGTAAACATCTAAATCTATGCCGCAATTATTGTAAACTGTGTTAGCATGCTTTGATTTTTAATATCCAAGGAGCTTCTCCCATTATAAGGTGTCCAGGAGCTGGGAATATGGCTCAGTCAACAAAACACTTACCTTACAAGCACGAGGGCCTGAATTTCACCTCTAGAAGCTACATGTTTGAAAAAAAAAAAAAAAAGCAGACAGGCATGGTGGCACAAAGCATTTTCTTAGTGCTTATGAAGCAGAAGCAGGCATATCTCTGGGCTCATCTGCCGGCCAGACTAGCCTACTCGGTGAGTTCCAGGACACGGAGAGACATTGCCAAAAACCAAGGTAGCTAGTACTTGAGGAATGACATCTGAGGTTGTCACACACACACACACACACACACACACACACACACACACGCACACACACGAAGGGTCCTAAGACTTCTTCAACCAGAGATTCCATGCCTGATGTTCAGCCACAGACTGAGCTGTACAGCCCTAAACACATCCCTACTGGGGAAGTTTTTAGGCTTGATCCCAAGTCTCCACTGCCCTGGAGTGCCATTGCACCTACTCCCTTGGCCGTGGCTTTGTAGTAGGTTAGAAGTGCCCTCAGCCCCTGACTATGACCTTATTATGCAGTTTGTACTGAGCAGTGAGCTAAGAGGTGGAAAGAGGCTAAACAGGCCTCAAATTACTGCTGCCCATCAGCCTGAGCTGGGATGGTTCATCGTATGGGTGCACTGGACTGGACTAAGGGATGCCCAGATAACTGATAGACACCGATGGTAGGTGTGCCTGGAAGGGCGCCTCTGGAAAAGACAAGCACCAAACTCTCTAGGCGACCATCTTTAGTAGTTACTTGTCTCCTTGACAAAACACCAAACAAAAGCAACTTAAGAAGGGAGGGCTTAGTCTGGCTCACGGTTTGAGGGTGCAGACCATCATGGGGGAGAAGTTGTGGGGTAGGAAGTGTAAAGGGGCTGCTCACATTGCATCTGGAGTTAGGACGCAGAGGGAGACGGGGACACTGGTGTTCTGTTCACGGTCACCCTTCTACTCAGTCCAGGCCCCCAGCCACCCGCATTCAGGGTGTGTCCTCCCACCTAATGTCCCTGATCTGGAAACTCCCTCACAGACATGCTCAGAGGCCTGTCTCCATGGTGACTCCAAGTCAACTGATAACCACAACTGACCATCATGCCACCCTCCCAGAAGGGATGGGTAGCAGCCAGTACCCCAAGGGCCTAGACTGAAGGAAAGGGGAGGCAGGGTGAGCGCTCTCTTCAGCCAGGCTGACCCTGTGTCCTGCTCTTGGGTATCCGCGCTCCTCATTCTCGTCCCTCTGCTCGCAGACTAGAGCTTCTCTGGAGTAGCAGCTTGCAGGGGACACATTGTGGGACGCTTTGGCCTCCAGAGTCACGTGAGCCGGTCTCCCCAGTAAGTTTGTGCATGTACAGGTGCACACTACTGACTGATACAGGGCCGCAGGGAGAGACGGATGGGACATTGTGCTGTGCCTGATGCCGTGGCGACCTGAGAAGCTCTGAGAGGACTACTCAGCACACTTCTGGATGCATCTGGAAGGGGGTTTCAGATTGGCTAACTAAGGGGATGCCCGCTTCAGAGGTGAGTGGTACAATATGATAGGCTGGAAAGGATGAAGAGGAAAGCTCCTGCCTCGGGCGGGCGTTCTCTTCCTGTCTCCTAGAGGTGAACAGCGGCGTCTTCCTCACTCCCCCACGGCCGTATTGTTCGAAATCTTCCAGCCATCCCAAAACAGTAAATCCGGCCAGCGATGGGTCAAAAAATAAACTTCCCTCCTTTCAGGCATTTTTTCACAAAAATGAAAAATTGATCAACACTTCTGCTTCCTGGAGCAGAGCCACAAAGTCAAACGAGACTATGCGATAGAGGGTGAGAATACCGGATGGTTGTTTTGAATCACTTAGCTTTGGGATGTTGGTTACACAGCATCATTGCAGCATTAGCTGCCTAATACACATTCTTAGAGTAGGCTGGAGGTAGACTTCAGCCTGAAAGATTTCTGACCTCAGGGGAAGTCAGAGGCCTAGCCCAAGGGCAAAGAGTGACTGAACAGAGAGGCTTTCCCTGTTGGTGCCCAGGGATCACATCTAGCATTTTGAGGGTGTGGCCAATATTTCAAAGTTAAGCAACCTAGCTCCATCTCATCTTCTATGTGGCCTTGGATAGGGCCTCAGTTTCCTCATCTGTAGAAGGGGACACTAATAACAATGGCTGCCTATGCTGTGCGGATTAAAAATCTCTTTATAAGCAGCACAGAACAGGGTGTAACCATCAGAGAAGCAGGAGGCATTCTACCACATAATTCTCTTAATAAACCAGCCAGGGTTTCATCATCCTTTTTTAATATTTATTTATTAATTAATGTATGAGTGCTCTATTTGCACGTACACCTTTATGCCAGAAGAGGGCATCAGATCCCACATTAGATGATTGTGAGGTACCATGTGGTTACTGGAAACTGAACCCAGGTCCTCTGGAAAGCAGCCAGCGCTCTTAACCCTGAGCCATCTTTCCAGCCCTAGATCCTATCATTCTTAGGAACTGAAGTAATGTGAGATCTACTGACCAATATTCTGTCTCCGCTACTGTGGTGGATTGAATGAGAAAGGTCCTTCATGGTCTTGGGCATTTGGACACTTGATCCCCAGTTGGTGGCACTGTTTGGGAGGCATAGGAGGTGCAGCCTTGTTGGGGGGGGGGGGAGACCACAGCATCACCGGGGATGCCTTGCAAGTTAAAATCCTGTCAACATGTCCAGTTTACTCTGTTTTCAGTTCTGTCCCCGCCACCACGTCTGCACTCCGTTGCTGGGTTTCCACTGTGCCATCGTGGACTCTGATTTCTCTGGCACCATATTCCTAATAAACTTTTCTATAAATTGACTTGTCACTGTGTTTTATCACAGCAGTAGAAAAGGAACTAATACAAACGCTCACTTTTATTATTGTGTGTGTATGTGTGCACGCGCGTGTGCGCATGTGCATGTGTAGGCACGCGTGTGCTCATGTGACCTGTGTGTAGCAGTCAGAGGACAACCTCAGCTATAGTTCTTCAAGTACCATTCACCAATTTTTTGTTTGTTTGTTTGAGCCAGGATCTTTCACTAGCCCCGGGCTCACCAATCAGGTTTGTCTGTGTGATGTGGGAGTGATTTCTTATTAATAAAGAAACTGCCTAGGCCCCTTGATAGGCCCACCCTTAGGTGGGTGGAGAAAACAGAAGAGAATTCTGGGAGAAAGAAGCTTAGTGAGGGAGTCACCATGATTCTCCCGTTCTAGACAGACGCAGGTTAAGATCCTCCCTGGTAAGCCAGCTCGTGGGCTACACAGAATATTAGAAATGGGTTAGAACAATATGTAAGAGCTATCCAATAAGAATCTGGATCTAGCCGGGCCAGGCAGTGTTTGAAAGAATACAGTTTCCGTGTAATTATTTCGGGCATAAGCTAGCCATGCGGGCAGCCGGGTGCCGGGGACGCAGCCCCGCCGCTCATATTTCAACATCTGTGTGGCCATCCAGCCCCGGAGACCTTCCTGTCTCTACCTCCCCAGTGTTGGGATTACAAGTAAGCCTTGTTGGCCTGGCGGTGGAGGCACACATCTTTAATCACAGTACTCAGGAGTCAGAGGCAGGAGAATCTCTGTGAATTCAAGATCAGGCTGGTCTACAAGAGCTAGTTCCAGGACAGCCAGGACTGTTACACAGAGAAACCCTGTCTTGAAAAACAAAAACAAAAAAAAGAGACAAGTAAGCATTGCTATGTCTGGCCTTTTTAAAAATAAGTCCTGGGATTTGAACTTGGGTCCATACACTTTACTGACTGAACCATCTCTCCATGTTTTACTCACACAGACAACCACAGGGTAGCTGAATGTAGGAATAGCATGGTCGGGTGGAAGCAGGCTAAACTGTGAGCAGAGTTCTTTAGCTAGTGCCCCTTTGTGTAATGTGGCTTTGAACTGGGCTGAGGACTGGTTGGTCCATGGGGACCTCCCTGAGATTGGTCGGGTGGAGAAGGAGCAAGTTCCCTAGGTTGGCATATGTGTCCTGGAATGGCCTTCTAGACTCTGAGACTCAGTTTACTCCAAAGGGAAAAGGGGATGCTGCTGGGAAGTGGGGTCAGAGTCTCCTGCCCAGGGTCTTCTGCTGCTTGTAACAAGGCCCTGTCTTCCCAGCGGGAACCTGAACTCTGTTAAGCTGGCAGAGCCTGGGGGCCCTGACATCTGTGTCCACAACCCCATGCCAGTACAAAACCAGTCTCTAAAATACAAGGATAGGTACAGGGCTTTCTCTGGATAGAAGTGTGCCTGTGGCCTGAACTACAGGCTAGGTCCAGAGGGCCCCAAAGCTGTATGCTCAGGGACATCTGCTGATGGAGAAGGTTGGCAGAGCCCTGAGGCAAGGCTCAAGGGAAGCAGAGAATGTCTCAACTCTGGTCACTCTGCTCTGAGAGTCTGTCTCCTTGAAACGAGACTCAAATTCTCATGCATCTTGGACCTGTAGATGTTCCCTACAGTGTTGGAGTGGGGAGAAAAGACCCTTGCTAAGCTGCAAGGATTCACGGGCCCAGAGGCGGCTCTTGGGTCTTCAGTTCCTGTGCTGGAAAACCCAGGCACAATTGGGGCGTGCCTCTACCCAGTCCTGCTTGACACTGTCTCTCCAACTCTGCCTCACCCAGGAATGTGACATGTGGATGGGAGACATCACCAATCCTGTGTGTATGTGTGTGTGTGTGTGTGTGTATGTGTGTGTGTGTTTAGTTTATGGTGTTATTTGTCCTCCAGTACTAGGGACGGACGCCTCACCTTTACACCCTATCACTAAGCTACATTCACAGATCTCTTTTTTCCATTTTATTTATAGACAGGGGCTTGTTTAGTTTCTCAGGCCAGTCTTGAACCTGTGCCCCTCTTGCTCAGCCTCTCAGGTAGCCAGAATAACATCCCTATGCCTGTATCTGAAACTAAAATGTTTTCTTACAGGCTGACATTTTGAGTGGTCAGGTTTTGGAGCCCTTAGGAAGTGGGGCCTGGCTGACAGAAGTGAACCACTAGGGGTGGCCTTTGAAACTTGCACCCCTCCCTCCATTTCCCATCTAGCTCTCTCTGTTTCCTGGTCTGTCCCATGTCAACCGTCATGGTCATGCACTCTGGGTGCCACAAACCTGCTGTGCCTCGAGATAAACTGGACCCTCCAAAACCACGAGCCCAAATCAACCTCTCTTCCCTTAAATTGTGTCAGATTTGTTGTCATAGTGACGCATGCGCCAGCTCGAGCCTGGAAATGTAGGAGACAAGGAGTGAGATGAACGGAACGACAGGGCACCACCAAGAGAAGTCAGTCCCAGAGCGAGACTGCCTTAACTTCATTTCCCCATCACTGATTACAATGCTCCAACAAAGCGACTTACGTGAGCACAGGTTTGTCTTGGCTCGTGGTTCCAAGTACAGTTCTCCATGGTGGAGAAACCAAGGCAGAAAGAATGATCCTGCCACGGCAAAAGGGGTCTTCCCACATCAGTTAACATAATCACAGCAGCCCCTCACAGGCAAGTCCAGACGCCCTTTTTCCAGGTGATTCCAGAGTCTATGACCCAGCTGGCTCAGTCCTTCCAGATCTCTATAATCTAGGGACGGGAGAAGCTGACACTTGAGGGCACCTAGCTGGAGGCCTAGTGATGCTAAGAGGGCCCATATGCCAAGCAATTGGTGTGAGGGATATTCGGGGGCTGTGGGAGGCCTTGAATATGGCCTGTGGCATGGAAAGATGCAGAAGAGGCTTAGAGATGTGGCTCAGCAATTAAGAGGGCTTCAGTGTTCCTGTTCCCCGCACCACACCAGCTGTCTTACAACTGTCTTGCAAGTCCAGTTTCAGGGGCTTTTTGTAGCCTCCAGGACCTATCTGGCCTGGGGGCGGGGATTCTGTCTGGCCTGGGGGAATCTGTCTGGCCTCCAGGGAATCTGTCTGGCCTCCATGGCATCTGAGCACATGTGACTCTCATATATGAAGACATGAACACACAAACGCATTAAAGTTTTTTAAATCAAACAAATACTTTTTTAAAGAAGAAAGATATTGTCCCGTTGGCAGGAAGAGGCCGAAGCTGTTACTGACAGCAGACAGTAGGATCTCATGTTGATTAAAGCCCTCACATTCATAAGAAGAGGCCAGACAATAAGATGTTTACAGTGAGACTCACCAGGGACACAGAATGACAGCTTTGTTTCCTCATGTTTTTGATCTTCTCCATGTTTAACTTCCAGGATAACAAAAGTTTGTTAATTGTATTTTGAAACAAGATCTCAAAGACTTAGACTCAAGCAATCCTGTCTTGGCCTCCTGCATAGCTGACACTCGGACTTTGTTACCATGCCAGGTTCTTGGCTTTATTTTTTGTTATTGGAGACAAATGTTCTGCCGCTGAGTGACAGCCCCAGCCCTTAAAAGGTTATTTTATTTATCAGTTGGAGGTATAACTTGATTGGCAAGAACACTCACCTAATATACCCAAAGCCCTGGGTTTGATTTCCAGCTCTGCTGGGATAAACTACCTGGCCTCGGGCAAGGAATTGCTTCCGGAGGCTTCAGTTAACACTACATCCCATGCTGTTGCTTTTTGTGGTGTTGGTGGGAATCAAACATAGGGCTTTGGACTTGCTAAGCAAGAGTTCTACCTTTGAGCTATATCACCAGTCTGTTAATGTCCCCATTATAAATGATGTTGAGTGCAGGCCCTGATTGCCAGGGCTCCCTGGAGGCCCTGTGAGTTAATAGCAGGTCCCGGTGCCCAGTGACTAAGAAGAATGAATGTCATTTTTACTGACCCTTCTCTAGGTACGTAACTGACTGCGGATGGTGTGAAGAATGGGAGGGGGTCACAGCCCAGCTTCCAAACCCCTCACAGAACAGGGACTTGTCCTGTCAGCTTGCTTTGCAGATCCCATCTCAGGGAAGGTCTCAGTCGCCAGAGAGCCCCAGTTAGCTCCGGTCTGATGCCATGTTCCTGGGCCCACTCACCAGATCTTCTGATCCCTTTCCCAGCTCTCAGAAGTTGGCCCCTGTGCTCTGCTTTCTGTGGCTGTCACCGCACATGTGGCTTGAATGAGCATCAACAATGGTGCTGAATGAGCGCCGGGCGGCTCCTCTGGGAGATCTGCAAGGACATCTTTTTGGTCACAATAGCTGTGTGCATCTGTGTGTGCATGAGTATGACCTGTTTATATATAAACACGAAGCAATCTTTCATGCTTCTTATATACACAATGAATTTTCTGAGAACGAGACTATTGTGTATGGGGGAGAAGATTGTCCTTTGTTTTGTTTGGCATCTTTCCAGGACTTGGTGCCTAATCCATGTCACTGGCAACAGGGCGGCTCGTGGTGTCTGAGTCAGCCTCACAGCCACCTGTGCCCACTGTCTTAGTGGCTGCTATGGCCGTCACGGTCACATCTCTAGGAGCAAACAGGGGGCCATGAAATCCCTGCTACAGCCAGTTTGCACCCTGCACCCTGAAATTTATAGTATTTTATTATGGATTACTTCTCATTTTTCCCTCATAGTACAGTTAGGACAGAACATTGATTTTTTTCCCCCCACTTGTTTAAAAGCATACGGGCACACAGGTTAGATTATTTATGAATTTCATTTCCCCTCAGTAAAGAGAGCATTAGGAAATATTTGTCATCCACATTGGAGCCAGGCATGACCAGCCTGCAAACCACTAGTCAAGGGCCCACATTTGTGTAATTCGGGAGACCCACATCTGAGCTGGTCTGGGCATCAACCATCAGTTGCCATCGGGGAGAAACTTGCTGAGGTAAAATGCCCAATCACTCACGTGCCTCTGGGGTGTGGAGTCCGCCTCCATTGCTGTTCTGTTAAATGGAGCCTTCCCCCTCTCCTCTGAGGAATAGTCTGGATTTGCAACTCCATGACTGGTCTCCTCATAGCCTCCTGTCAATCAGTGTCTTTTCCAGACGTTCCCGAGCCTGGGAAAAAGCACATGCTTGGCTTGACCAGCCTGTCCCCTTCTATGCTGCCGCCCAGCCTCCTTGCCTCAGCCCCAAGGCCTCTTCTCTGGCTCTCATCCTCCTCACCTCCACGTGGCTGTATCCATAACTTCCAGTTCTGTTCTGACCTCTGCAAGACACTTCTAGAAAACTGCTCCTGTCCAGGTCTGGAACTGGCCAGAGAAAAGCAGCTGCTGGGAAAGAGGAGCCAGATGTTACATCTGAGAGGTCCCGCAAGAACCCCTTCCAACCCAAGACTGAACCAACTGGGAGGTGGAGGGTAAGTTATTTCCCTACCTCTGTGATTTTGTACCCCAGCCAAGTGGACTTTGGGTGTCCCCATCCTTGAACCTAACATTCATCTATGAAATTACCCAGTCTCTGGCTCAGTGGGAATACTATAGGTTGCCGTCAGACAGATCAGTAGACACTTTACACAAAGACGGGGCCCAGCGTGCCCAGAAGCTCCTCCCACAGATGGCTATCAACTAAGTCACTTCTCTGCAGAGGAGGACTGGGCATCCCTGGGACCCAATGGATCCTGGGAGGGAGGGCAGAGAGGCTGACCTGGCACTGGTGCCCAGCTTAGTACTGATGTTCTCTCCTGCTATGTATGGCCCAGAATTGAACTTGGGAAATCAGATTTGGTGGCAAGAGCCCTTAACCCCCTGAGCCATCTCACCAGCCCACTAGTGAAATTTTGATACATTTGTTGGCTCTGAAAACAGTACGAAAGCTGTGCGGCGGTGGCACATGCCTTTAATCCCAGCACTCAGGAGGCAGAAGCAGGCGGATCTCTCTGAGTTCGAGACCAGCCTAGCTCTACAAGAGCTAGATCCAGGGCAGGCTCCAAAGCTACAGAGAAACCCTGTCTAAACCCCTCCCCTCAAAGAAAAGAAAAGGAAAGAGACAGACAGACAGACAGATAGATAGATAGATAGATAGATAGATAGATAGATAGATAGATAGATAGATTTGACTGCAAGTTCTGGAATGCTTTTCAGGGAATGGATGGTATTAATCACTAGGGCACACGCATACACTTGAGAGCCTTTGTGATGTAGAAGCCAAATGCTCTCCAGTGAGGCTGCCTATGAGGCACAGGTGGGAAGTAGAAAACACACAAGAGGGACAATTGATGCCTCAGCCCCACAATTCCCCCAGGTTCCAGGTCATCCCACTGAGGAGAATCTGGGTCCCCACTGCAGTCCTGATGCCACTAACTCCTTGATGGTGCAGGATCTGAAGACAGACTTTGACTGAATCAAGCTACAGTTTGGACAGGGTTTGAATGTGTCCCCTGTGGAGTCCTCACTTATTAGAGGATGGAAACAATCTGACCATGTGTCCAAAGATGTGGCCCCTGGGAGATGAGAGTTAGATGAGGTCATTAGGTGATGACCCATGATGGAATCCTACTGGCTTTATAAGAAGAAAGAGAGAGAGGAACTCTCTCTCTCTCTCTCTCTCTCTCTCTCTCTCTCTCTCTCTCTCTCTCTCCCTCCCTCCCTCCCTCTCTCCCTCCCTCCCTCCCTTCTGATCATAAGAAGTTCTGTGTCATCCAGGATGCCGCCAGCAAGAAGGCCATTGCCTGATGTGGGATTCCCCTCTATATGCTGTGAATATATTTTATTATCATTGGCTAATAAAGAAGCTACTTTGGCCTATGACAGGGTAAAATAAAGCCAGGTGGGAAATCCAAACAGAGATATATAGAGAAAGTAGGCAGAGTCAGAGAGATGCCATGTAGCTGCTGAAGGAGACAGATTTCAGAGCTTACTGGCAAGGCACAGTCTCATGCAGATACACAGATTAATAGAAATGGGTTAATGTAAGATGTAAGAGTTACGTAGGAATATGCCTAAGCTGTTGGCCAAACAGTGTTGTAATTAATACAGTTTCTGTGTGATTATTCGGGTTTGGGTGGCCAGGAAACCAATGAGCAGTCTCAGACTACAGTTTTCAGTTGCAGACACTTGATCTTGGTTGAACTTTCAGAACTGTGAGTCAAAGTAAGTCTGCCTCCTGGCTAGCTGGCTTCCTCTCTTTCTTTTTTAAAAGTCTATGTGTCTGATTGTTTTGCCTGCACATAGTATGAGCATCATGTGCATGCAGTGCCCAAGGAGGCCAGAAACCTGTATTCGATCCCGTGGAAATGGAATTACACACTGCTGTGAACTGCCGTGTGAGTGTTAGGAACTGAACCTGGATCCTCTGCAAGAGCAGGAAGTATGCTATGTCTCTAGCCCTAAGTCACCTTCCCTCATAACTTCCCCCAATCTATAGTCCTGTGTGACTTACAATAGAAACAGACTAACATGGGAGGCCTTGGTGCCACTCATGAACAAGTCACTCCCTAGGCTTTATAGGCAGAGAGCACCCTCAGGAGAGGTGAACTCTTCAATCCGTAGAGCAGTGCCTTCAGGTTGGACCAGGACAATCAGCTGTGACCAGTTTCAGTGGGTGGGTAAATGAGCAGACTAGGGCCATATCCCCCAAAAGGCGCCTACAAATTTGGCTAAGGCTGAAAAGATTTCTGGCAAGAATATGAAGAGACCAGAATTATCTTATGTAATTGGTGGGAATAAAATGAGAATATCGCTTTGAAAAACAGGGCACATGGATCACAATACACCTCAAATATCTACCCCTAGGAATATACTTAACAAAAATGAAGCATATCTGAAAAAAAAAAGATGAAGAGGAAGAAGAGGATAAGGAAAGGGGGAAGCAAAGGGGCGAGAAGGGGGAAAGAGAAAGAATGAGGGGGAGGAAGAGGAAGGAGAAGAGAAAGGAGGAAGAAGGAAGAGGAAGGAGAAGGTGAAGAGAGAGGAGGAAGAGAAAGAAGTGGAGAAGGGGAGGGAGAAGAAGGGAAGCAGGAAGAGGGGATAGAGGAGGAGGTAGAGGAGGAGAAAGGAAGAGACCATCTTGAGATAGAAGCCAGTTTCCCCTAGTCAGCAAGGGCAGGGCCGTGATGGGCCAGGTTGTCCTGCTGCCGCTTCCCCCAGGGGACAAATAACTCTCGGGTTAGGTTGGGCCAAGGGCACATGTGCAGTGCATGTGGATTCCTTACTGGCTCAGTCTGAGATTTCCTAAAAAAGAAAAAAGAAAGAAAGACCAATCTCAGTAAAGATGATCTCAGTCTCACCCACTTTCCGCCATAAGATGTATAAAACCCTGCCAGGCAGTGCAACCTGGTGGTTCCTCCCTCGGAGCCCCGCCCACTCGCCAAAGATGTTTCTCACTTTCCCTCATAAGACCACGTTCACTCTGTTCACTTCTCATCCGTGATTCCTTAATCTTCTCCGGCAGGAGACAGTGAACTCGGAAGTCACTGGCTAGGGTGGCTTTGGTTGCTGCTGGTTGTCCAGCAACCTAGCTCCCTGAGTTAAGTAGCCCTTCGGTATCAGACACTTGGGTATCGGTGAGGTCTGCTATCTTTGGTGGTTTGAGCGCACCATCCATGGACACTGAGGGGCTGCTCTCCTGAGGGACAGGTGTCAGAGGTCTGAGACTGGCCCCAAGGTCTCCTGGAGCCATGGTCTGAGACACCCCACCAGACACCCGCTTTCTGTGCCGTGGGGTTCAAAGGTGTGCTCACTTTCCCTCTTAACTCTGATCCCAAAAGGCAGGAAAGCCCCGTGAAAGGCTCCAGGCCTGTTGGGACCCATTCCAAGGTCATTGTTCTTCATGTTACCTGAAAAGTTACCTCTGGCTGCCACGTCAGCAGGGATGGACGACAGTTCAAGGTCTGGTCCTAGTGGTCATGAGAGAGCTTCCAAACCCAGGGCAAGGCAATGATGGGCTACTTGCCATGTACCAAGGACCATGCCGAGATACCACACTGACACTCAAAGCTGATATTGGTAAAGCCACTTTCCAGACATGGAAATGGAGTTCTAAGAGGGTCCCCAACAGGGAGAAAGACTTCGGAGCTGGATTCTCTTGACTCTGAACTGCTATTAAAATTGTGCCTGCCTGGGGTTATTCTTTTCTTAGATATAAGAGGAGGCAGAAAAGAGGGGCAAAGTCTGTGATTATTGGTATGGCTCTTTGCTCCCGCACCAAACATGGCAAGGGCTGGTTACCCAGAAGTCAGCTTGGTAGAGGAGGCTGATAGTTGCTGGAGTAACTTCCTGCATCTCCTTCCTCTTTGCAAGCCAACCCTTTCCCAGAAAGGAAACTCTGAAATGAGAAACAGGAAAGGGGTCCTGGTGGAGAGAGCTCGTCTTGAATGGCTCTGAGCAGGGCTCTGGGGAAGGGGCACACCTAGTGCACTGAGTGAAAGGAACCCTGGAGTGGGGGTCAGCTTTCAGTTTGGGTCCTGAGTCCGTCTCCACCATGCGGTGCAGCCTAAGGTACCTTTCCCTCTCTGTGCCTCAGCTCCCTTAACTGTACAACGTAGGAATTGATGCTCATATTAAGCTTATCAGGGCTCATCCACAGATTACACAAATGTTAACTGATCTGCTCCTTCAGTCACCAACCAAGCACTGGGGACAGAGCACAAGTTAGGACTGGCCCTGGCTCCTGGAGTGGAGTCTGGGCCATGAAGACTGCTCTGGGGGAGAAGTTGCCCCCAGTCCACAGACTCTAGCCAGTATGAGATTGGCTCAAAGAGTAAAGAACAAACCTGCACTCACCTGGGCATTACCCAGGAGCCCTCAAACATGTTCCTGTTCTCCCTGTGCTCCAGGCATCCGCTTTTGGGGGCGTTCTCACCCCCATTTCCTGATGAACCTGAGGAAAAGGCATAAAGTGTCCTTCTCGAAATCCAGCCGGAAGGGTAGATGACACTGGAGATAAATTTGTAAACAGGTGACCCAGCCAGAGGCTGGAATCTGTGCAGAGGCCAAGGGGGAAGGAGGCCAAACAGGTCAGAGGTGGCTTGTTTGTCCAGGGACAGACAGGCTGGATTCTGGACAGCGTGGGGCTCTGGAAAGGTAACAGAACAGAGGTTAACCCCAGCCTTCATGTCAAGCCCTACAGTAACCCCAGATGAAATGAAGATGCCTGGTTAAATGGGAGCTTCATATGTACCACAAATAATATTTTAGTATAAATACATCTTGGCAGTCTTTGGACTATACTGATATTTTAAACAATTGTTTGCTGTCAACTGATATTTGTTTGCTGTTGAGCTGAGATTCAACTGATTTTTTTTTTAAAGAAACAGAATCTTAGGTAGCTCAGCCTTCGTTTGGTTTAAACGTTTCATGTAGTGGTGGATGGCCTTGAGCTCCTGGCTTTCTTGTCTTCAGTTTCCAATTCTACATCACT